CCCCAAAACCCCAAAACCCCAAAACCCCAAAACCCCAAAACCCCAAAACCCCAAAACCCCAATGTTAGTAGGATCTATTGACGTGACTCTTTATCTTGCAAATGTGAATGCTGCTATCGTGATAAAGGAGATGAGTCCCAAGAAGTATAGAATCTGCAGGAATCCTTGGAACTTTTTCATTCGGAATCCACAAATACAAGAGATAATAAAGATCAGGATTACTTGTAAGATCAAACCTCCTATAGCTATCATTGGTAACCTTGCTTCTTCAGAGGCGATCTCAAACTCAAAATGAGTCGTTCCGTTAATGACTTGTACTACGATACTTAGACCTACTCCCATGAGGAAGTCAAAGATTGGTGCAGCAAATCAGGCTGTTAAAGCCATTTTTGCAAGCCCTTTCTTGGCAAAAGCTGAGTTTGCCATGACATCTCCAATAGCATTTCCCCATGCAAGCATTGTGATTGCCAAGAAAGTTGGAGGAAACCTGAGGATAACTCCTAGAAGAGCTACCGTGTCAACAAGAATTCCAGCAAGGAAGTAAATCCAGACTATTGACATGATGAAAGCAAAAACCGAGAAAATAACCATTGTCCTCCTTGGCCCATGATTCTTTGGAGTCAAGAAACAGATAAGAACAGATAATGTGAAGGCAATTCCCTGTAATATCCAGAATGATAAATGAGGTACAGTTTTAAAGTCTATAAGCCCAACAATTATGTAGACGAATGCGATAGAAAAGAATGGGCTTAAAGCAGCATAGTTTCTATCCCACTGTTCTCCATCCGCAGGAGGTATCGTTAGTTTTCTTACAAAATTCAGCGGAGTATCAACGAGGACAAAAATAATTTTCTTCAAGACGCTCATCTCCTCCCAAGATTCCTCTCCTTGGATACCTGTTTTCATGAACTTTTTCATTTTGAGCATGGACCAGACGACTTTACGTCTTACCTTTTCAGCGCCTCTTCTCATCCTGCCCTTCGTCTCGACAGATCCACCATTGCTTCTCTGAGATGAATTGATCTCGTCAACGTGATCTTCAATAACTATTGATTTGGCATTAGTCTCATCTAGTTTTCCAAGGGCCGGTTCTTTCTCAATCCTATCACCTTCTGACAGGTCATGCTTTTTGCCGTTGTTTTCATTAACTGAAAAAGATATCTCTTCAGCACGAGGAACCATTGGGCTTGTGTACGACTTTGCTAGATTCCCTTCCCCATTGATGTTGTACTGCTCTTTCTTTTCTTGCTGACCATTCTTTTCACTATCGAGACTTTCTGTGTAACTAGTACCTGACCTAAAAGATTCTTTGTCCTGGTTGTTGAGACTTATCCGGAATCTTTGTGGATCGCCATCTTGAACAGTCTTCCTCTGCTCAACTCTTTCAATTTCAACGATACGATCGTTTGCGTCTTGGTAGAAGTAGGCTTCTTCTTCATCTTCTTCGTTTTCTTCAACAAAGGTCGCTCTCATTCCTTTACTGGCACCTGCTTTACGAGCTCGTTTTTCTAAGGTGTCCATGATAACAACTGTGACTACATAAGCAACATATATTAGAATAAAAGCTGCTGCAAAGAAGATGTTGAGTTCTCCAACAATTGCAGCAATGACCAAGACTACCAGGCCAAGAACATAAAACCCAATATCTCTGAACATATGAATTCCTAGAACTTTTATCTCCTTCTTTGAGGATAGGATAACTACTGCAGATACCACACCTGTGACGAATATGCCAGATCCGGTGAGAGCTCCAACTGAGAAAAACATTCCTCCTTCAGCACCATCTGCTGCTGAGATAGAGGCAATAACATCAGGTGCTCCATTTCCCAGTGCTAAGAGGGTCACGCCAGCTAGGGATTCTGACATTTTCAGTGTCGTCGAAACCTTCTCAAGAGCAGGGGTGAGGTAAGCATCGGCAGTCGATCCAAGAGCATAGAAAGCAAGCAATAAGATCAATATTAGTAAAGGAATCGTTGCGTACATTCTTTCATCAAAATCACAGTAATGCATTGCGAAGAAATTGAACAGAGATTCATGCTCGCAATGTTCCGTGACGAATTCTCATCTTGCTGCAGCATCCAAGGCATTGATGATGTCAGGGTCGCATTCAGATCCTTCTCCAAACATTTTTATATTTTAATCAATAAACTCACAAACAAAGGGGTTTTGGGGTTTTGGGGTTTTGGGGTTTTGGGG